CAGGTCAGACGCATACTTGAAGCGCTTCTCGCAGTCCGGGCACTTGAGAGGCTTCTCGCGGGCCGGGTCGCAGCGGTGCTGCACGAACTCAGACGACGAGAAGAAGCGGCGCTCGCACAGGGTGCAGCGCAGTGGCTTCTCGGCGGCCGAGCAGTGCGCCAGCTGGTGCTTCTGCAGGGCGGACGCGCGCTTGTAGGCCTTGCTACACACCGGGCACTTAAAGGGCCGCTCGGCCGCGCCCGGCAGGCACTTGTGCCGCAGCAGCTCGGCCGACTGGTCGAAGCCCTTCTGGCACACAGGGCACTTGAAGAGGGTCTCAAGGGTGTGCACGTGCTGGTGGTAGAGCAGGTGGCTGGGCTGTCCGAAGCCCTTCTCGCACAGGCCACACTTGAACGGCTCCTCGGCCTTGTGGGTGCGCCGGTGGCGCATGAGCGCGTACTGTTGCTTGAAGCCCATGGGGCACAGGTCACACTTGAAGGGCCGCTCTGCGCTGTGCGTGCGCTCGTGCTGCCGCAGGTCCGACGGCCGCTTGAAGGCCTTCTGGCACTCGCCGCAGCGGAACGGCCGCTCCCCGCTCGGCGTGCACGGGTGCTGCAGCAGCTCTGAGGACTCCTTAAAGTGCAGCTCGCACACGTTGCAGCGGAACAAGTGGTGCTCGCCCGAGTGCGCGTACATGTGGCGCACCAGATGCGAGCGGTGCTTGAAGGTCTTCTCGCACACGGCGCACTTGTACGGCCGCTCCGAGCTGTGCGTGCGCTTGTGGTGCACCAGGTGTGACGACTGGCTGAAGCTCTTGTCACACAGCGTGCACTTATACGGCTTCTCGCCCGTGTGGATGCGCTCGTGCCGCGACAGCTCCGACAGGTGCTTGAAGGGCTTCTGGCAGATGGGGCAGCTGTAGGGCTTGTCGGCCTGCTCGCCAGGGGCCACGGCGGGCGGCGGCGGCGGTGGCGCAGGGGCTGGGGGCAGGGGGGTGGCGGCTGCAGCGGCTGCCGCGGGTTCTGCCGCCTCCGCCGGCTTGTAGGTCTTCTCGCAGATGGAACACTTCACCAGGCCGCTCGTGCCGCTGTGCGCGCTGTGGTGCTGCGCCAGCGACGTGAGCAGCGAGAAGCCCATCTTGCAGACGCCGCAGACGAAAGGCTTCTGTTCGGCCTGCACACACTGGTGTTCCAGCAGGTCCGTGGCCTGGTGGAAGATCTTGAGACACTGCGTGCACTGGAAGGAGCGGTCGTGGCCCGCCAGACACTGGTGCTCGTGCGGGCTGGACAGGTGCGCCAGGTCGTGGCCACACACCCCGCACTTGGGGCCCGGCTCGCTGGCCGCCTGCAGGGGCGCGTGCTGCGGGGGCTGGAGGCCTGGATCTGGCTGCAGGAGGATGCCGTAGACCGCACAGCCCAGGGGGTTCTCTGCCGAGCCCGGGGGCAGGGTGTGCTCAGCCAGGGCCGGCGGGGGCTCTGCGTGGTGCTGAGGCTGCGGTGGCTGCGGCTGCTGCGGCTGCGTCTGCGGGGGCTGCTGCCAGCTCTCCGACATGCTTGGGAAGATGAAACAGGGTTTGGAGAGTAATGGCTTCAGTTTCCCGCTTAAGGCGATCAAGCCCAGGGAGAAGCTGCCCAGGATCAGGTATGGACCAAAACCTCAGACAAGGCACAGAAGAGGGACTGGTCAGACAGCCCGAGGCATTAACCTAGGCGGACCACAAGGCTCTGCCTACAGGCTGGCGTGGCTCTCTGAAGCAGGGTGCCCTCGAGGCCGGAGGGGCTCTGCCTTCCCCGATGACTGGCTCTGGAGGGAAGAGAAAAACCGTGAGCTTCACAGAGAGATACACAGCTGGTCCCTGGACCCCTCTCCCCATTCTGCCTGCACTCACCAACACTGTGGACACATCAGGGAAGAGAGAGGAGTTCCGGGCTGGAAGACCCGCTCTCTTCACACAAGACCAAAGAAGTTTGCTGAGGGCTCAGCCCCTAGAGCAAAGAGAGCTTCCTGCCTCCCCAGCCTCCAGCCAGCCCTCTTTAGTCAGCTGTCTCTCAGATAAGGGTCTGGGATGATCTGCCCCTAATACCAAGAAGTCATAAATTCTGCTCATGCTCCAAAGGAAGAGGGAGGGCCATGACGTCCAAACCAATTTCAGCAACTTAACTTTTTTTGCAAATAAAATTCTTACTTGGAAGTCCAATATGTTATTAGATAAAAGCAGAGAGGCACTGGTGGAGGACACCCCAAGGCCTTCCAACTCCTTTCCCCTGGCTGCCCTGAATCTCAACCCAGGACATCCCTGCTCAGGGTAATAGCCCGCTGGGACGGAGAACCAGGCCTTCTAGACCTGAAGCCCCAATGGCAAATGGCCTCAGGCAGCCAATATTTAAAACAAGTAGAGGAACTGAGGACCATTTCAAAAAACTTATTTTGTGGGGTGCCCGGGTGGCTCAGGTCGTGATCCCAGGGTCCTGGGATCGAGCCCCGCATTGGGCTCCCTGCTCAGCGGGAGGCCTGCTTTTTCCCTCTCCCACTCTCCCTGCTTGCATTCCCTCTCTCACTGTCTCTCTCTCTCTCTCTCTGTCAAATAGATAAAAAGCTTTAAAAAAATTATTTTGTGAGGGGCTGACCCACATCCCTCTCAACTATCCCCCAGGCCCTCCATCCTGACCACTGACCACGTGCCTATTCTTTGTCCACACAACTGTTAAGATGGCCTTGCAGAGACCTGAGCCAATGTAACAATGATTGGTCCATAGACCCACCCAGCCTGGAGGTCTCCACAGCAGAACATCCTGCTCTAGTTATCTCCCAGAGCACCTAAAACTCCTAAATCCTCCAAATCACAGTGGCCAGGCCTGCAGGAAAAAGTAGGCAATCAGAAGTTTCCCTTGGCAATGTGGAAAGAAGCATGCTAAGCACAGAGCATTTCTCCTCTTCCCAGGACAACCTGGAAAAGACAACCTTTCCGGAGACGACTGCCTTCCCTTGCTCCAAGTCTCTAACATTTTGGGTAACCAATGGAAGGTAAAGACCACCCATCCCAGGCAAATCTCTAACTCACCACTTTGTGGCAGCAGAAGGTAATGACAGCGAGAGGGAGGAACTTTTAGAATTACATGCAACCGACTTTCAGGTTTCCAGATTCTCTGCCTCAAACATCGAAAAGTTTCTAAGTTTTCTCCTGAAGGAAAAAGGAGAAAAAGGGGGATGCCTTCAAAGGCCAGCCCTGCCTCTAACTGTCTGCCCAAGAAACCTAAGAGTCAGACCAAAAACTGTCACCCACAGCACCTTCCAGGAAGGAAAGAAGGAAAGGAGCCCGGCTCGGGGTGGAAGCAGCAGGTTGCATGAGCAAGAAGGTAGGAAGCCTCCCCAGGAAAGAGGGAAGAGGGGCTACCCTGAGCTCAGTCTAGGTCCGGATGTGCCAACCCAGATGATTTTTTCCCTCCTCCAGCATGAATGGCTGCCAGAACCAGGGTTCCAGATCCTGGGCCCCCAGCTCAGCTGCCCACCCTGCCCTTTCCAGAGGTGTAGCCCCGAGGCCTTTCTGATCGTGCCGCAAAGAGGAGAGACTAGGATAAGGGAGGCAAAGAGAGGCCCCCACCTGCGCCCCACGCCAGCCCTTCCTCCTCCCTGGGAAACCGAATGAAAGGCGATCACCTCCCTGCCGGCAATGCCAGCCTGCCCAGCTGGGCTGCCTCCTGTCAGCCCTCACCAGGAATGGCCGGGCCGCTACGGGCCAGAGGAACCCGCCCCGCAGGCGATTGGGCCCGAAGAAGGCCCCAGGGCCGCAGGCTGGGCCCGGTTAGGAGCTACGCGCCCTGGCTGGCCTGGGCCGCCCCAGAGCTCAGGAGGCCGCCGGGTCGGGCCGGAGGTGGAGAGGGGGAGGTGTTGGTGGCGGGCGGGCCGGCTGGGTAAGGGGTGCGGCGGGCGCGGGAGTGGCCCCCAGACGCAGCCCCGAGCGCCCCGCCGCTCACCTGCTCCAGGCCGCCCGCGGGGTCAGGCGCGGGGCGAGTGGCGACCGACTGCTCTCTCGGCCGCCCCTTTATTCCGGCTCCAGCGGCGGCGGCGCGGCCTACGCACACTGCCAATCCCCGGCCTCGAGTAGCGGCGGCGGCCGGCCTGGGGGCGGGGAACCGGCTAGCGGCGGCCGGAACCGAGGAAGCGACGTGCGTGGCCGGAATAGCGGGGCCAGGGCGGAGGAGCGCCGGGAGGGCGGGCGGACGGACCGACGGCCTTGCAGAGACCGGCGGACAGGCGGGCGGCGCGGGGGCCAGGGAGGCGGGGCCGGGGGAGGAGCGGCAGCCGGGGCGGCGGCGGCTGCAGAAGGAGCGGGCGGCACGGAGCGAGGCCGCCCCCTGCCGGGGACCCCGCGGCCGGGCCGGGTCGGACAGTGGGGCGTGCGGGTTGGCTCTCCAGTTGCCTGCCCTGCACGCCTCAGCTGACCCAGGGAGGGCGCCCCGCTTCCCACCAACCTGCTCGGCCTTAGGGGAGGAGGCGCGCCCGGCCCGCGGCCCGACGCCCGCTCTTGAGAGGAGGGGTCTCCTAGACCCTCTGATCTTCTGGAACTGACCCGCCTCTGACTAATCAGCTTGCTCTTAGGAGACGGGCCCCCGAAGCTCGGACCCTGGACCGGCTTGAGGAGGGGTGTCCCGGACCTCTGATCCCGTCTGGGCCTCGAGGGCAGTGATCTCCGCTGGGTCTAGGGCGCTGACCGCTGATCCAGCGACCGTCCGTGGCAAGGAGGTCTGGTCGCGGATGGCTGCTGACAGAGGAGCGAACAGAGAGGTCAGGGCCCAGAGCGATCTGTGAAATGGGCACACAGAGGCTAGGTGTGGGGTTCCGGGAGGCTCCAGGTAGCCGTGAAGGCTCTGCGAGCTGGCAGGCGGCGTGGTTTGAGTGGTAGAGTCCCGCCGGAGTCCTGTGGGGCCCCGCCCCTCCAGGCCCCGCCCCGAGGCGGTGCTTCCCCTGGCTCCGCCCCCGGGAGGGCACTTCCGGCGCAGCGGAATTCCGGGTGCGATCGCTCGCGGATACGGCCTGTTGTGGTGAAGGCCCCATGAGTGCGGCGCCCCTGGTGGGCTACAGCAGCAGCGGCTCGGAGGATGAGGATGAGGCCGAGGCCGCGGCCGGGGCGGCCGGGACCCAGGCGCGACCCGGAGCTGGAGGCTGCCGGCGGTAAGGAACGAGGAGATCTTTCTCGGGAGGGTGCTGGTTCGCGCGACACCTCGACGGGACCCGAGCGTCCGGGGGGAAAGGGGCAATGATGCGGGGCGGCTCGCCAGGGAAAGAAGAGGGGCACAGCGGGAAAGGAGGGTCCGGGGGACAGCCCTGGACACAGCCCCAGAGTGCCCCCACCTGGCTAGGCCAAGGTGAGGAGGCAGGAAACGTGGGCTCGGGTCCAGCCTCCAGCGCTGGCCGCCGGGATCTCCTGGCGCGCGCCCACAGCATCGCCCTAGGCCCGTTTCCACATTTGGAGAGTGTTTTCATTCATCCGGTAAATACTCATGGAGCATCCGCTCTGCGCCAGGCTCGGACTGGGACACTCCGCAGTGAACAAAACAGTCGAAGTCTGACTTCGTGGAGCTTCTGTTCTCAAGTGCCACGCCTGGTGCTTTTAAGAGTGCCTTTCAAGCAGTGGCATCTCTGTTGATCTCACAATAGCTCTATCAGGTCGGGATACACTTTACAGATGAGGAAACTGAGGCCTACACAGTGCGCATGACTTGCCCAAGACCCCAAAGCTAGGAAGCGCTACTCCAGTTCAGGCTTGTCTACCTAGGGAATGTGACCTCTGAACCACACTGTGCTTCCTACCCAGTAGTCTCCCGTGGGAACCAGGCCCCCAGCTAAAGTCAGCCTCCCAGGGCTGTTGCGAGACCCCAGTGAGACAGTACTGGGGAAAGAGTTTTGTGGTTATCTAGAAGCTGCCTGCAGCACCTGGTGGGAAATGGATGCACACAATCACCCTGGATAAGGGGTTACGACTTTTGTTGTAGCTACAGAGGTAGAGAATGCCAGGAGGCTAAGTTCGCTCATTTCCTTTTTCTCTCTTGCAGTTCCCAGGGCCCTCTCCCCAGCCAGAGGTTGCCAGTACCTGACAGTGTGCTGCACATGTTCCTAGACACTGAGGGAGAGCCTGAGGATGACCAGGAAAAACATGGAGGCCGGGTGCGCACCTTCCCCCATGAGCGGGGCAACTGGGCTACCCACGTCTATGTGCCATGTGAGTAACGTCTAAAGGGCGAGAGGCTGAGACTGACAGGGGCCTCTTTCTTTTTTTTTTTTTTTTTATTTAAAGGTTTTATTTATTTATTTGATCGACAGAGATCACAGGTGGGGGGGGTGCCCTGGGAAGCAGGCTCCCTGCTGAGCAGAGAGCCCGATGCAATGCGGGGCTTGATCACAGGGCCCTGGGATCATGACCTGAGCCGAAGGCAGAGGCTTTAACCCACTGAGCCACCCAGGCGCTCCTGACAGGTACATCTTGATGGGAGGAAGCTGGCCCCAACCAGGAGGAACAAGCCAGAAACCTCTGACATGGATGGTAGGAAAGAGATGGACTTAGCAGAGAAAATTGGGGAGTTTTTCTGTAAACTTGTTTTCAGTTTCGAATTCATTGCCTAAATTTTTTTTTTTAATTAATTCTGGGTATAATATTTTCCCACTCATGAGGAGGTGACCAAGGGAGGGTCTAGGGCAGAGTGTCAAGGCCATCCTGGAGCGCGGCTGTAGCTGGCAGTTTATTTCTAAGAGGCCCCTGGGTGTGCTGGGCAGGTCTCCCCTCCCGCCCCCACCAGCCTACATGAGTGAATGGCAGGCAAATAATGCCCAGGCTTGGCACCCTTAAGTAAGTTACTGGACTTCCCAGAGCCTCAGTGTCTTTTTTTTTTTTTTTAAGATTTTATTTATTTATTTGACACAGACAGATCACAAGTAGGCAGAGAGGCAGGCAGAGAGAGTGAGAGGGAAGCAGGCTCCCCGCTGAGCAGAGAGCCCGATGCGGGGCTCTATCCCAGGACCCTGGGATCATGACCCGAGGGGAAGGCAGAGGCTTTAACCCGCTGAGCCACCCAGGCGCCCCGAGCCTCAGTGTCTTTATCTCTAAAATGGGGATTATAGAAATCTGTATCTCCTAGGACTTTTGTGAAGATTAAATCAGATTGTTTATGTCAGGCTCTTTTTTTTTTTTTTTAAGATTTTATTTATTTATTTGACAGAGACACAGAGAGAGGGAGAACACAAGCAGGGGGAGCAGGAGAGGGAGAAGCAGGCTTCCCATTGAGCAGGGAGCCCTATTTGGGCCTCAATCCCCAGACCCAAGGATCATGACCTGAGCCGAAGGCAGCCGCTTAACGACTGAGCCACCCACGCGCCCTATTTATGTCAGGCTCTTAACACAATACACAGAGTAGGTGGTGGCCCTTAGTATTTTGTGTTAATCAGGTCAACTCTTAGAACCACCATTTCCCCATCCACAGAAGAATGAGTCTCTACACTGCCTGCTCACCAGGGAGTTGGGATAAGTTGACTAACACATGCGGCGCAAGCAGTTACCCATGCAGCTCCAGGCCCACATTTGGTTAAAAAAGAAGAAGAAGAAGAATATGTGAACATTCAGTGGTGGTCGTCGTGGTGTTCTTCGTCTTTGTGAAAAATTAGGAGCATTCTAAATATTTATCAGGAGATTCAACGTCTAATAGGGACTGATAAAGGAAGTGTTGTTTGTGATTATGGATTACTGTGGACCAGTGACCATGAGCTTGCCCGCTGCACTGAAAGGAAGACTGTCCACCCTGTAGTGTTACATGAAGAAAGCCAGTGGAAGAACAGTTTGACTGGTACACTCTCATCTTTTCAGCAAATAAAATGTGTACACTAAGATAAGCACTGAGAAGAAAGGCATCCAACTCCAACAGTCTTGATCTCTAGGGTAGTGGTCTTGAAAGTGGGGTGTATGCCCCCTGGGGAGAGATCAAGATGACCCATCTGGAAGAAAAGTATTAGAACTTCTTTATATATCTCTTTTTATCTCATCTTTTTAAAGTTTCTGTTTTTGGGGCGCCTGGCTCACTCAGTCAGAAGAGCATACGATTTGATCTCGGGGGCGTGAGTTCGAGCCCCATGTTGGGTATGGAGATAACCAAAAAATAGATAAACTTTAAATAAATAAATAAAAATTTCCATTCTCGAGAGTGTACATTTTACAGTGGACATAATTTTGTAACATGCACATTTGTAATATAAATAAATACACGTTTATTGCAGGGATGCTTATGAGTTTGTTTCCTAATGGCCCAGGTGATCAAAACAGTTTGGAGGCCGCTGCTCTAGGTGATAGGATTTCAGGAGGCCCTGCTTTCTCCTTTGCATATTTCCTTTTCGTACTTGAACTCTTTACAGTGAGCATATGTGTGTTACTTCTATAACCACAAAAATCATATTAAAATACATAGAGCTAGGCTGCTCAAAGTTATTGTCCCCAAAAGTCCAGAGTAACGAAGGCCTTTCTCTGCCTTCTGGGATTCTTCCTTCAGCCACACGGCCCTGGCTAAGAGAATGGCCCGCCCTATCCACTCTTGCCTCCAGATGAAACGAGGGAGGACTTCCTGGATCTGCTGGACATGTTGCTGGCCCACGCCCAGACATATGTCCCCCGGCTGGTCCAGATGGAGGCATTCCACATCAGCCTGTCCCAGAGCGTGGTGCTGCGGCATCATTGGATCGTCCCCTTCGTGCAGGCTCTGAAGGACCGCCTGGCCTCCTTCCAGCGGTGAGTGCCTGGTGCTTCCTCTGCTTCTCCTCCCCTCAGCTCCTCTTCCTGTCCTAAGCTACTGTGGAGGTGTAGGTGTGGGGCGTACTACCGTAGCCAGCAGACCAGACATGAAGGTTGAACACTAAACATCTGGAGCCGCCTACCATATACCCCACCTTGGGTAACTTTGGACAGGCCACAGAAGCTCTGGAAGCCTCGCATCCTTACCTTTGGGCAGGTCATGGGAGCAGTGGTAGCCGCCTCCAAGGGGACCTATGAGAGTGAAATGAGGTCATGCGGGCCTTGGCGTGGTGCTCGGGGAAGGATGGGACCTGGACCCCGCCTCTGGCTTGGTTGGCTAGCCTCAAACTTTTCCTTCCTCAACTTTGCATATCTCTTCTTCCTACCAGAGTGCCTTTCCTCCTGTACTTGGCCATATTAAAGCCCTGCTCCTTCCCAGAGGCTCTCCAATTTGGCATCTCCCCCAGGGTTCCTCAGTCCCTGGAATCATCTCATACTGAGGCAGCTTATACCCTCGTGCTCATTGCATGCCTATCTGGTCCTTGTCCCCTGGGGAGCCAAGCTCCCGCAGGCCCAGGAGCGCCCCTTCTTTCTGAATTCCCCATGTTTCTGCTCCAGGTGCTTTGCTGACTATAGGCATCAAATGGATGTTTGTTGAATGACTGAGCAGGAGGAGAGAGGGATCCTCTGAGTGTTGGTTCCAGAAGGAGCCCAAGAAGCCATCCAGTTGGTGGTTTTCTTTGCAGAGCCCCTACTTCAGAAGAGGTGTTACTCAAAAGCTTGGACGTGGAGTTGTGTAGGAGAAAAACTGAAGTCTTCTAGCATAAGCCCCACTCTCCCAGTGTGGAGGCCTCAGGCCCAGGAATTCCATAGACGAACTCCACCCAGGTAGGGAACTGCCCCTTTGCTTCAGCCCTTTCTGAGGGCCAGAGGAGGAAGGGATTTGTTCCAGTTCAGTCAGCCAGAGAATTAGGACTAAAACTTCTCTCTCCACCTCATTCAGTTCCCCCCTCCCCCCACCCCCGTTTTTTTATCATCACTACCAAACTGATGGAGCAATATGTCTGTTAGTCAGGACATACTGGTCACAGATACCAGAAATCCAGCCCAAAGTGGCTTAAACTGAGGGGGAGTTCATAGGCTGGTATAACTAAAAAGTTCAGAAGTCACACTGGCTTCATGTGCGAGTGGACTGGGGTGACCAGAAGACAGCATCTGACTGTCATCATCTCTTAGATCTGTGTGGGCTTCCTCCTCACAAAGGCAAAGAGGCCTCTGGCAGCTTGGGGCTGCCAGTCTACCAGTCTGGGAAGCCAGCCCTCTTTTTTAAGAGCCTCAGCAAAAGTCAGGAACGACATTGATGGGTCTGACTTGGCTAACGGGCTCTCCATCTGTGAGTTCAGCTAGCAGAACCTGTCCCCTTCTACGTGAGGCTGTTTCAGTTACCTGCTTTCTGCTCTGTTCTCTGGGTAGAGGTGGAATGTCAGCTGGGTCTGGGGCCACATGACTTTGGCAAAAAGGACTTTATCACCACACTGCATGCATCTGGGCTGGGAGGACTGTGTGAGAACGAAACCTGTGGCAGGAAGCCATGATGCTGGGCTCCTCTGCATGCAGTGGTCCTTCACCTGGACAAGTCCCTTACTGGGGCCTCTGGAAACTTTGCCCACAGGCCATTGCTAGAATTACTGGTCCCTGGGAAGCCCAGATGTCGCTTATCCTCTTGCTGCCTGTGGGACCAGAGAACAGCATCTAGGTCACCGGGCTGGCTCTCCTTGCTAGCACATGGTGTTTCCACCCCTGTGTCCTGGAGAAAGCCAGGCTAGGTGGCCTCTTCAAGTTAGTCTGGTTGAGCCTCTGGCCAAGAGTGGGCAGTGCACCTTTGATTCTGTTCCTGCAACTGAGGGAATGCTGTGTTCTGATTGGCCAGGCCTGGGGCATGTGTGTACCCCCGGGGTAGCAGGGTAGAGACTCCTCCGCCAGCAAAAAATGGGAGAACAGCCCTCTGGTGCAAGTGTCCTGGGACAAGAGGGGTTGGTTGGCGTCTTAGCCAGGGTTCTGTGAAATCCGGAGAAGTGGCTACTTGCCACTCATTAGGCCCAATCAACAGTGTCATCACCAATGTCATGGACTTGGTTAAGCTTATTCTAACCCACTGTCGTTCTTTGAGATCGTCTGGCTTCTGCACAGGCCAGAGAGGAGAGTGGAGTGGAGATGTGGGAATCCCCTCCCCCGTGTCTTTCAAGTCCTTGGTAGTGACACTGATCTCTGCGAACCCTCCAGGGATGGAGTATTCCTTCTGATTCACTACTTTCCTAGGTCGAGGCAGTTCTGGTAGCTTCTGGTGGCTCCCCTACCATAATCACCTTCGCTCCACGGGTCAGGGAACAGATGTGGGGATTCTGCCAGCCGCTGAGTGTGTATTCCAATTATGCTTTCAGAACTGGAGGAATAACCACAGGGTGGGTTTGGGGGCCCACCGAGACAGGCCTGAGCTGAAATTCCATAGGTCACTTGGCCTCCATGAGCCCCCACTCTGACTAGAGAGCCACAGTGATGTTTTGGTCTCCTGGAATTAGTTCACGGCCTTATCTGGTAGTTCCCAGAAGGCCTCATTATTTCCTTTTCTCTAATGCACAATTACCCTGGCAAAAGGCCATAGGTCCCTTTTGAGAAGGCTAGGGAAAAAATGAACTATAAAATTTTAGTAGTGTACCAGGGTCCTTCCTCAAAGGGACCGGCCCTCCCCTTCATTCAAGGGGTCTTAGGTCCATAAACTGGCTCAAGTCTGGAAATTGAGGGTCCATGACTTTCCTTTTATGATCGGATTAGACTTTGTTCACTCGGCCTGCACTGTTTCTGCTTATACAGATGAAGTAAGACTTTTGCAGGCTTCCTGTCTAGCTCACTTCTTGGAGCGCCCTGACAATTAGCCAGTACTCTAGGCCTGCCCGAGGCTCGGCTGCCTTCCATGGTAACTACACCCACCTCTCAGCTTGGGTGTCTCCAGCTCCCTCACTGGAGCCACCCCTTGGTCCACGTTTCAGGCAACTAACCCAGCAAACTGTGAGGTCCTTTCCCATTCCCCGAGCTGTGGCATTCACGCCGGATCTCTGCTTCATGAGCCCGCATCAGGAAATCGGCCTGAGCCAACTCTACGAGGCTTACACCATTATCCCACACCTTTAATAACCACACACGTTCCCTGGATTTCTGCTCATGTAGATCAGAATACTCAAGTAGTACTTTGAAGTATGGCATATCTCATGAGTCCCGCTTTGTACCTCACCTTTAGGGGACTGCCAGGACTTTAGTTATAGGTCTAGAAGCAAAGTAGGGGGTGGAAGGGGTGCCTGGGTGGCTCGGTTAAGGGTCTGCCTTCAGCCCAGGTCATGATCCCAGGGTCCTGGGATCGAGCCCCAAGTCATACTTCCTGCTTAGCTGGGAGTCTGCTTCTCCCTCTCCCTATCCCTCCCTCTCCATCCCTCCTCCCTGCCCCTCCCCTCTGCTCCGGTGTTCTTTCTCTCTCTCTGTGTGTCGAATAAATAAATAAAATTTAAAAAAAAAAAAACGAATTAAAATAAAATAAAACAGCTTTAAAAAAAAAAATAGAAACAAAGGGGTAGCGGGAGTGGGTCCTGAGGAGCCTCACCGTCCTCCTGCAGGGTAACCCTCAGTGCCGGCTGAGTCCCCACAGATGGAGGTGGCAAAGCCCAAACCACTGTTGTCGGGGGCCGCTTCCACTGGGAAGGAAAGCTTGTAAGAATTTAGGGGCTCAGTGCTTCCCACGCGTGCCCCTTCCAAAGGATCCCCCGTCTTTCCCAGGCAGTGCTCTCGCTTAAACGGTAGCAGTTCAACTGGTATAATTCAGCCAATCACAGCACTCGGTTCCTTCCACCTTTGATTTTTCTGCAGTTACAGCCCTGAGGCTATGGGACAGGAGGGTCTCCCTATCAGGGCACACCTAGAGGTTCCTAGGTCCTTGATGCTGCCTGAGTACAGAATTCGAATCCCCAAACTCACCTTTTTCTTTTAGCACTTTGGCCACATTAGGAGCAAACAACCAATGTCATTATATTCCGTAGTTTCCCCCAAACTGTTAGAAAGTATCATACAGTCACTTAGCTCCTTCTAATAGATTGTTGCCTGGGATGATGCGGCGCAGATATCATACACGTCTCTATAATCGGTTCCCACGTGGACTACCAGTGCTCGATTTACTACTAGAAATAGTCAGTAGTGTCTTTGAATCCAATCAGATTAGAGAGCCAATTCCAGAAGCCTCAGAACCACTTCAGAAAACTCAACCTTAAAATCCTGGTTTAGAACCACTCTTGATACCGAAATCTGTGTTGGGGCTCTCTAGAGAAACAGAACCAATAGGATAGAGATAGAGACAGAGATAGAGATACAGAGAGGTTTATTATAGGAATTGGCTCACACAGTTAGGAAAGTCGAGAAATCCTATAGTCTGCCATCCGCAAGCTGGGGAACCAGGAAAGCCAGTAGTATCATTCAGCCTTGAGTCCAAATGCCTGAGAATCAGGTGTGGGGTGGGGGAAGCGCTGGGGGTAGGAGATGACTGATGGTATAAGTCCTGATAGAGCCTAAAAGCCTAACAACTGGGAAAGTCAATGTCCAGTGTCCAAGGGCGGGAGATGAATGTCTGTACTCAGAGAGCATCGGAGCACCAGTTTGCCCTTCCTCTGCCTTTTTGTTCTGTCCAGGCCCTCAATGGATTGAGCGATGCCCTCCCACACTGGGGAGGACCTTTTGCTTTATTCCTTTCACCAATTCAAATGGTAATCTTTTCCAGAAACATCCTCACAGACACACCCAGATTTCATGTTTTACCAGCCCTTTGGGCATCCTTCCGGGCAGTCAAGTTGACACATAATATTAACCCTCACAGTTGGGCACAAACCTCCAGCGTCCACTTCAGGATGTTAGTCAACTCCCTTGCTGAGCTCTGGGTAAACCTGATACTTAAACCAAGCTCCTGCTGGTTCTGTCGCCCCTTCCATTTTCCCCAGAAGCGATGCATTAGGAAGCTGAAGGCTGATGGGGAGGCCAAAAGTTCACTGAGTCTGAGCCCCGGACAGGTTGTGAGATTCTTGCCGGCATGCTAGGTTGTTGTGTTCCGTCACATGGAACCTTGGCCTGGAGGCCATCAGTGATCATTTCCTGTAGTGGGATTTGCCACGTTGGTCCACAGGGGGCCCCCCTAAGATCTAGTATCTCAGAGAATACAGCAGGAACCAGCCAGAATGAAAGGACTTACTGACTGAACCCAATGGGCCCTGTGTAACTGAGCTGAGGGATGGGTGGATATGTGGGCGGGCAGGTGTTTCTGCCCCATTTGCACACCAACAGAGACCCACTTCCCCTCATTAAAGCATCATAGGTGACAGCAAGGGCTTTGGAATCAGACAGACTGAGGTTAAGATTATGGCTCACCAAATTCAACTTTACCTGACCACAGTTTGCGTGTCTGTGGAATGCGCAGAGTTACAGCGCCCACGTCATGGAGTCGCATGAGGATTCCCTCAGCTCATGCCTGCAGAGCCCTCAGCTCAGCCCCTGGCGCATGGGAAATGTTCGTCTCTTACCACCTCTTTGATGAATAAGACTTTCTCAGTTCCCGGCAGTAAAATTGAAATAGTCTCATTGTTCATTGGGATGAACTGCTATTAATAAAACTTTCGCCAGCATCTGAATGAAGTTATGTGTCACTTCAGCTGGGTGATGACGTAAGGCCTTGTCCAGCTCTAACATTTTAGGGTTCAGTTATACCACCTGTATAATAGGATAACAAAATGAAGGGTGCAGTGAGTTAACGGTATTTTCAAAGTCCTCTTTTTTAATATAAACTTTTCAGATTTTTTTTTCTTATTATTCTTCCTGAAACGTGGTCTTTCCTCTTCTAAATTCCAGATTCTTCTTTACTGCCAACCGGGTAAAGATTTATACCAATCAAGAGAAAACCAGGTGGGTCTCCCCGTCTGCCCCCAGTTCCTTCTACAAGGTTCTTTGGAGTAAAGATTCAAAGGGTGCTTTGCTTCTGGCCTGGTCTGTCCCAGTTTTTTCTTTGTTTGTGTTTTTTTCTTTTAAAGATTTTATTTATTTATTTGACAGAGAGAGAGATAAAGCAAGAGAGGGAACAGAAGCTGAAGGAGTGGGAGAGGGAGAAGCAGGCTTCCTGTCAAACAGGGAGCCCAATGTGAGCCTCGATCCCAGGACCCTGGGATCATGACCTAAGCTGAAGGCAGACGCTTAACGACTGAGCCACCCAGGCACCCTCTTTGTTTGTGTTTTAACCAACTCTATGACTACAAAAGCAGCTGTTCCCAAATCTGAACCTTTCATTAAGAAAAATAACCAGAGGAACGTGGAGGGGAGGGGGGCAGAGGTAGAGAAAAACATCTTGGTAAAGTGAACAAAAGCCTGCCACTGGAAAAAAACATGGGCCCCTGCCCAGCTCCGTCCCCAGTTGAATGTTTAGCTCATACCGTCATCTCCATGACCTCTCATTTCCATGCCGTCACACGCCTGCCCTTGATACATCCATCACTGGGCAGTCGTGAGGCACCAATGAGCCCAGCATGTTTCAGAAATGGTGGAGTGGGTTGAAACTAGGAGGTAAGGGATTAGAGAGAGTGACAGTAGGCAAGTCATCTAATAAGTTTCACTGAGACCGGGAGGGTGTCTGGCTAAAGATGTGGGCTCATGGCAGGATTTTTAAAGATGAGGGAGCATGTCTGAGAGCTGAGGGGAGGGGAGCCGGTGCCCAGGAGCCTCATCCCTGAGAAACAGTCCAGACTCAGGAGTGATGTGAGGGGTTATAGACACGTGGCAGGGGCAAATGAAGGAGTTCCTCGAGGGTCATGAGCCCCTAGGAATGAGGAGAGATCTGTGGTTAGAACTGGGGAAGGAAGGTTTAGGGACAGAGGAAAGAGCCAGCTCAGAGCGCGGGCAAGTGAGGCACCCAAAACGGGAGGAGGGAGAACCCCCAGCTCTGACCTGACTGCTTCCTGTCGCCTCCCCTGCCCCCAGTGCGGATGGCTTGTGTTCTCAGGGGCTGCATCTCATGCCCACGTTATCTCCACTTCTGCCCGCCCCCAGGACCTTTGTCGGACTTGAGGTCACCTCCGGGCACCCCCAGTTCCTGGACCTGGTCTCGGAGGTAGACAGAGTCATGGAGGAATTTGACCTCACCACTTTCTACCAGGTAATAGCCTCTTCCTCTCCAGTGGCCCGTGGAAGTGGCCAGTGGAAACAAACCATCCTCAAAGGAGCCCTTGTTAGAGGCAAACTGAAGAGCCCTCCAGAACTTGCCCCTGTGAATCGTCCCAAATGCCAGACTTCAGAGGACACAGGCCTCCAGGACAGAGGGGAGTAGAGGAGCCAGGGGCGCACTCAGGTGTAGCCCATCCGAAGTCCGACGCTTCATAGAAATCTCTTGTTTCATCTCCAGTGTGCACAAGATTTACCCATTCTGCTCCATATGGATCCATGTTCATGTTTCTTTTTTAAAGAAAGAGTGGTTTTCCCAGATTTTTTTTTTAGTGAAATTGACACCAAGAAGAATGGTGGTTTCCTCCACCTTTCTATACCTCACCCGGGGTGCTCCATGGCCTCCAGGGGTATTTGACTCCACACTGAGTATCAGGTCCTTAAAGGACCCTTGGTTTTGCTTGATGTCTTCCTTTAAAACCTTGCTGAGGCATAGGAGTATGAATTTCAATGGAGATTATTACTCATAATTTTAGACATTTTGGTTTTTGTTCACTTCATCTTAGAAAGTATGTCATCTATTGAAATGTTCTAGATCAGAAAATAGAGTTGGAGCCTGCGTTCTCGTCCACGTCCCAGATTTAATGACTGTTAAGGGAAAGCCCCTGGAAGCAGGACTGTCTTAGTCAGCTGAGCCCATCGTAACAACATACCCTAGATGGAGTGCTTTAAACAGCAGAAATTTCTTTTCTCACAATTCTGGGGCCTAGAAGTCCAAAATCAAGGTGCTGCCTTGGTCCACTTCTGGTGCGAACTCCCTTTCTGACTTGCGGATAGCAATCTTCTCGCTGTGTCCTCACATGGTAGAAAAAGAGGAAGCCAGCGTCCTGCCATCTCTCATACAGGCACAAATCCCATCACGACGGCCCCCCTTTGATAAGCTCCTCTGAACCTAATTGTCTCCCAGTGGCCCCATCTCCAAGTACCATTACATTGGAAGTTGAGGCTTCAACATAGGCATCCGGCGGGTGGGGCGGGGAGAGGTCATGGACACAATTCAGTCCACAGCTGGGGCCAACCCAGAGCTCCTTCATCTGCGGAGGGTGCGTGGGAACAACACTGGTCAGCACTGAGGGTCTAGACCTTCATGGAGCAGGCCAGGGCTCCGGCAAGGATACCATGACAACGGTCACAGACCTCCTGTAACCTCTGCACCTGCCAAGGCATCCAGACGACCTCCTGCCTCCCTGCCGTTCCTCCACAGGACCCTTCATTCCACGTCAGTCTGGCCTGGTGTGTGGGGGACGCGCGTCTCCAGCTAGAAGGGCGGTGCCTGCGGGAACTACAGGTGTGTTCGCAGTGCAGGAGCACAGAGGGCGCCCAGCACCAGCAGTGACAGGCCATGTGTTGGGGAGTGGGAGGGTTGGCGACAGGCCCTGAGGATTATGGGTGCAAACCAGAATCTGGGCGAGGAGACCCCCATCACCTCACCTTGCTGCTCAGACAGCAGTCCCTTGGCTGCAGCCCCCTGGAGACTATTAGCCAACCAGACTCTGGCCCCAGTGCGGACCTAAACGCAGACCTAAGAAATCAGAACTGCATTTTAACAAGATCTCTAGGGACTTGCATGCACGATAAAATTTGAGAAGCACTGCCCTCCACCACTGATCTGAGAGGATGTTGTAGGCCTCTCCTGAAGTCCTAGCCCCTTGCCCAGAGGTCTAAGGCTCAGGTGCGCAGCAGGGACCAGCAGGTGTTGGAAATTAGTGAACCGTGCCAGGCGTGAGGCTCGACCACCTTGGTAACCCTCCTGTTCTGCTAAGTAGGTGAGACAGTTCTCCTTCCCATCAGGGCCCTCGGAGGAGCCGGGACTCCTCCACTGTTGGAAGAGGAGAGTGGGGGATGCTGCCATGCAGGGATGTAGACCGTGTCGCTAGCACTTCTGTTTTTCAAGGGAGACCAGAAATCCAGACTTTTACATGCAATCTCTCATTTTCAAATGTTGGCACTAATGTGAATTTTTTTTTTAACATGCTGCAAGCCAGACTAAGTGTGTGCTGGAGGATAGAGCCACTTCTGCTCTTGGCCTAGTCAGGCCATGGGGTAAAGAGCCCTGGTTTCAGGCCCCAGCAGACCCCATCCCCCTTACAGCTTTATCGGGTTCTGAGCATCCACTTCCTCCTCTGCAAAGTTGGGATGATAGGACCCACCTCCCCAGACTGCAGAGCTGATGAGACAAGACTCCTAAGCATGGAGCCTGTGCGTCCCTCAGCCTCCCTCCGCAGTGCCTACCTAACCCCTGAAGGATTTTAGTAGGCTGATCTTGTTCACAGTGCCCTCTGGGTCCCTGATTCCCCTAATGCGACTGTCCTTTCTCGTCTTCCGGGGGAAGAACATTGTGGATGAGTTTGAAGACCCCGAGATGGTGCTGCGTGCGCATGCCGAGCAGGTCCGCTGCAAGTCTGGGAACAAGTTCTTCTCCATGCCTTTGAAGTGAGCACCAGAGACCCTCATCCCAGGCCCCTCTGCAGGCCAGGCAGAGACGGAGAAGCCTGCTCCAAGACTTGGCGAGGCGCCCAGCCTCCCAAAGGGAGGCCTGGTTTGGAGCGCAGGCACTGCTGGTGGTTCCTTGGGGGATTGTTTGCTCCCAGCTGGTTTGGGTGCGGTCCAGCTCTGCTGTGTGTGGTCATTATCAGGAATCACCAGTAGAGGGCAGCCTGGGCTTCCTAGTTCTAGATCTGTGGCCTGTTGACTTGCCGGGCACAAAAGAAAGTCAGGGTCATGGTGAGCCCACCCAGACTCAGCCAGCAACCCCACTGTAGCCCCTCCAACAAACGGCCCCGACCCCACACCCTCCCCACATCGGCTGTTTGCATTTGGAGGCCATTGGCCTCCGTCAGGGTTCCCCTGGCTCTTCTCTACTCACGCTGGACACACTGTTTTAATGGGTCCACCACCCTCCCTCCCTGAAGTTCATCACTTTTATTTATTTTTGGTCTCCCCCTCTGGTGCCAGCGGAGGCCATCTCAGGGCCAAGGTGCAGAGCTTTTCTCCCCCCACCCTCCCCCCACCTCCTACCTCCCACTCGCCCCCAGCCAGGTGCCTGGGGAACCGGGAGCAGATGTTTCATTTTGGCCTGGCTATGGAGGCTCTAAGCCAGCCCTCCAACGCTCTGTGACCTCTGGCTTCTCCTCAGCTTTCCCAAAGAGGCGGAGGGGCAAGGCCTTCCCCCAGTTCTCTCTCCACTGCCTCCAGCCGCCTGCCATGGGCACTCTGAGGGGGGCTCCAAGGAAAGGCCAGGGGTTGTCCGGGCCTTTTATTTTCCATCAGGCCTTCACCAGAGCAAAAGACCAGTCCTCTCCAGTTGTCCTCTCTATCTCTGGTGATGAGAGATATTTTTATGTTATGGTTTTCAGTTATGTTCCAGTAAAAATTACAGTTTCAATTTGGGGTTTTGTTTGGGACTGCTTCTGTTGTGCAGCTAGGTGACAAGATGACTGTCCTCTGCCTGCACCTTCTCCAGCATGCCACTCAGTGTCAGGGGCACTCTTGGGAGTCCCCGTTATGGCTTTGGAATGGCCGTGAGAGGAGGCACTAATGACGCCTCAGTAAAGATAGTGGGGTCACCCGGCCTGCCAGGCCTGCACCCCAGACAAGTGGCACAGACCACCTGTGGCCCAGGGCAGGGCCTGTGGCTGGGGGGGGGGACCCCAACTCCTCATCAGCGTAAGCACAGACATGCAGACCTGACACTGCTACAACATGTACTGCTACAACACGTTCAGAGCCCTTTCTAGAACCATCTCCTCTGTCCTCCTGGTAACCCGCCCCAAAAAGTAAACTGGGGAGGAATGGGTATTCCACTTGTGCAGAAGAACAGCTGAAATCCCTTCTCTCTGTTCTGCTCTGACCTCAGTCCTGCCCCGGGGCTCCCAGTCAGGCCTGCTCTCCCCTCCTCACCCCAGGCCTGGGGAAAGGGGACCTGCCACGCCAGCTCTCACTGCCTCCTGCACCTCTGGGCTCTCTGAGGCAAGCTCCCAATCCCAGCCCAAAGATGTGGGAACTCACTTTCTGTGCCCGGTTCCCCAACTCCACTGCACTGATCTGCTGATTCAACTCCAACCGGGCAGTTGGTTCTTACGGATTTTGAGGTCACACTGGAAAGGGAGAGGAAGCCCGGCCTCCTTCTGGGCCTGCAAGGAACACAGCAAATGTCCTGTGCAGTGGCACTTACAGGGCCACCAGCTCTGTGTCGGATGCTTACAGCCAGGGAGCAGCCAGAGCCCCGGGAGAAGAATCCCCATCCCCAGCTCTGCATTTCTCACAGTGGGGAAGTACAAGCAACATCCCGATTTCCGATTTCTGCCAGGTTCTAACCTCAGCGTGGAAGCCAGCCTCCACCTAGGCGGCTCGGTAGGCCCAGACCACCCGATTTTCCTCATCAGGACCACTGGCTCTCCCCAGGAGGGCAGCCCCACCATGAACAAACCCAGGAGGGCTGGCGGTGCCAGTCCCAGGGGAGGATGTGGCCCGGATGGAATTACAGTGCAGCAATCTGAAGAAATGGGCCCAGATCGAGAAGGGGCTCCTCAGTGGGGAATGGCAGGTGGCGATAGAGGAAGGAAGCCAGAGAGTCCCTGAGGGGGGAGGGGGGCAGGCCGGCCGCAGGAGGCTGGGCGGCAGGGGCTTGGCAGGAGCCCAAACACTGAGTGTGCCTCGGAGCCCAGCCGCCGGCTCCCCAGCGCTCGGCTGACAGTGCAGAAGCAGCTGGGGCTCTTCCATAAGAGGAGATGTGATCCGAAGGCAGACGATGAGACCAGCACAGCCTGGGGTCCACCCCTTGGCAGGCTTAGCTCGGAAGAGGGAGATGCTCCCGATGGGGATTTTCTCACACCAAAGAGAGCGCAAAATCAACACATCTGGCCTGGGTGTCCTCAGATGTTCCCTGCAGGGCAGGGAAGTGATCTTCGAGGCCTCCTTGGCCCCTTTCCACCTGGCACCCTTGGCTCTCTCTGCAGGCCTCTCCAGACCACCCCAGCTTTGTCTCCAAGGAAGAGAGAAATTACCTCGGCTTGTTTGTTTATGCCTTGTCTTGGTACCGGGAGCCTGAGAGGCCAAGGGGGAGGGGCGGGGTGGCAGCCAAGGATGGGGGTGGGGGTCCAGGGCCTGGTTCTGACCCACAGCATGTGGCTTTTACGGGGACCTCAGCCACCACCTGAAACAGAACCCTCCTTCTACCAGTGAAGAGATAAACCCAAAGAGGGGAAACATCTTGCTCCAGATCGCCCAGTAAATCAGTGCTGAGGCAGACCCCCGCCCCCACCCCAGGCCTGGCTTCTTCTAATCCCCACCTGTTTGCACAACCCCTCACTACCCCTCAGGGGCTCACAGTGAAGCTGGGCGCTTTGATCCAAAAAGGCTCCAAGAAAACAAGAGGGGCAGGGTCGGGGGAGGCTCTAGATGAAATGGTATTAGCGAAATGTGGGGAAGGTTTAACGCTGGGTAACAGAAGGCTAGGCCCACGGTGGCTGTCCTGCCAGTCCCCTCAGGCCTCGGGTACAGGCCAGATCCTGCAGAGCCACAGGCCCCCATGACAGACGGGTGTACAAACCCACCTTGGAGCCTGCAGGGGCCAGAACCCAAACACTGGGGCTTCAAGGTCAGGTCACAAGGGATGCCTCCTTTTTAAGTAGGATTTACCCCAGGAGAGGACCCTCCAACGGAGAGAAAATAGTTACCAAGCTGACCACAGTCCTATAAGAGCATTACTCACCATTCCTGGGTCCCTCTCTTAACTAAAAACCTCCTAAACTCAAACTTTTTTATTTATTTTTTTTTCAAGATTTTTTTTTTAAGTAATCTCTATAGTGTGGAGCTTGAACTATCAACCCTGAGTCCCTAGCTCTACCGACTAAGCCAGCCAGGCGCCCCTCAAATCCTTCTTTGTAAATTGACCAATTGGCAATAAATATCGTGAAAGATTGCAAAGCGTTCCGTTAAACCAAGACAAACCTGCTGTCCATTTCTGACACCTACCATACATTTCAGAGTAAAAAATTTAGAAGCCCACCCCACTGATGACGGTGAGCACAGTGCGGATATAGAACTGTTCGATCATCGTGCTGTATACCAGAGGGTAATAGAACAGCTCATTGTCAACTATACTTTCATTTTTAAAAACATTTAGAAATCCATTTCTCAAATGAGGGGTCCCACAGAAAAGGTAGTGGAAATGGATAAAATTGTCCCAAACTTTTCCCTGAAGAAATAAGACCCCTCTGTGTACTTGCTGCTATAGAATCCAGTTTGGCAAGAAACCAGCTAAATCAGTTTAGCGAGAAATCCCCATCCCTGATAATCCAATCATACTCCCCATCCCCACTATCCCCAGGTGATACCGCCTGCCTCAGCCAGAGCCCACCCCAGACTCACCAGCTCCTTGTCGTGATTTCCCATCCACCAATGCCTCCCACCCCCCATCCCCAACCCGGCCCCTTGCCTATAAACTCCCCTTGTTCTGGTTATGTTGGGAATTGAGCCCAGGTCTTCACTGGAGTCTCTTTCCCTATTTTGAGAGTTTTTTCCCGTAAAATCTATCCTTACTGCTTTAACTTCTCTCTGACTCTGTTTCTCCTTAGTGGTTTTTGGTGCGGTGACCCAGATGTGAACCAGAACCAGCATCAGACTCAGAGACGTGACAACCAGGCTTCACAGTGTGCACCTAGACCCTCTGTCTCCACTCTGTTTGCTGGCTTGGGTATCCTATGATGAATCTGACTCCAGAGCCCATTGCTTTGAATAAATGTCCCCTGAAACACGGAGAGGATTTGGATTCTTAGGATTCTGAGTATTCTCTAGAAGCTGGGTCAGAGTCCCAAGCAAGCAGCTGTTTGTAAGAAGATGCGTTAGATCCTGGGTGAACAGAGGCCAGATGAGTCCTAGGCTTTTTTGATTTGAGGAGGCCCGTCTCTGTAAGGAACAGAGGCTGGGTTAGAGTCCCAGGTACTTCTGTTCCTAAGAGTAAAGGTGCCGTTAGTCAAGAACACGGGAGCTTTTCAACCGGCTGAAAGCTCTCCTCAAAACTCCTGCTGACTCTATCCTTCTAGAGCCAAATGCTGTCCACTTTCTTTCTCATTAGCAAAACTTCACCAGAAACTCTCTTTACAGTGAGCCCTCTGGGGGGCTCTTTGGATATGCCCAAATTAGTCCACCTAAGGGGAGCCTTAGGGCAAAAGAAACAAAATTCTCTGATGCACAATGCTCTGCTTTGTTCACTTGGTCTGAAGAAGCCAAAAAGTAACTAAATGATTCAAACCTCATACAAACTATAGAAGTACTTAAACAACGTCTTCAGAGAATCTGTTCTGATTCAGTAAACCCTCTAGAACCCTTCACGGCCTCGCAGTTTTCCTCATACCCATCCCTCTCTCCCAAAATGTCCTTCACCAACACACGCCCAGCGCCTCCACTTCCTGCACCTTGAAGGTGCACCAGACCCCCATCTCTTGCAGATGAAGCCGATGGCGTGACCCCCTACCCGTTCTTAAGCCATGGTTGACAGGAGAGACGCCATTCAAACCTTGGTCTCGGTCAGAATTAACATGCCACCGTCGAGGACTTTCCTGACTCCTGAAAGAAATGGAAAAGGTTTATTGGCTACTTTAGGCTTGTTCTGGGGCATGCTCTCCAGATTCCCGGATTTAGATCAACTTCTCCACCTACGGTTTGGCCTTGGGGGTGCCTCCTTTGGGTTTGGAAAGGTCAAAGGAGCACCATACCTGAAGGTCATCAAGGGTATCAGACTACCTCTAACTCCCATTAGAAAAATGAGGGAAGAAAAAAGAAAAGAAAAAGAAAGACAGAAGCCATTCTTTAGGTCTCTCTCACCAAAATAGATTGGTCATGTATTCAAAATTATAAACGAAGATGAAATGTGCCTAACGATCACCATCAGTTAAAGACAATAGGCAGAAACTCTCTGGGCTGGAACTGGCAAACAGCCACAGCTCTGGCCACAAGCTTTGGAAATGGTCTCAGACCAGAGGTCCCTGACACATTCCAGAGAAATAATATTTCTGGCAAAATGCAGACATGTGTAAGCACCAGCCATTAGCCCAGCGTTGGGAAGATGGTATTTCAGAACCACTGGGAATACAGAATGCTGGCTGACGACACTGCAATTAAAACAGCCAGGAGGACCTGAGAGTTTTCATCTACGGCAAATTCCAAAATCACCGTCTTCCATCTATCGAGACACTTGCTGAAATTGTAAGAAAGAAGGATGTTGGGCCTGGGAATGCCAAGCCTCAAGAAGACGGAAAAAACCCGAGTCCCGTCCTCACCAGAAAATTCTTGACTCTCCCCCTAAGAAGCAGATGTCCAGTGCCCTCCACGGCCACCAAACTCACAAGGGGAAATAACCGTACGCGTTCAAGGGCACCCCAC